ATTTTCTTTTTTTTTTTACATTTTATAACATTTTCTATATATTGTTTAAAATTATTTTGCAAGATTGGACAATAGTTGCTTTGAATTGAAGTGATCGCCAAATTATTTTTAGTTTCTGAAAAAAGGGGAAAAAAAAGAAGAATGAAAATTACATACAGTCAATCAATATCCATGAATTTTTCATTTATTGAAAAAAAATATATTGAAATTGAAACGAAGGCGACAAAATCCAATTCAAGACGAGAGAGAGGAGAATCTACGGGCGATGAATTCGAAGGAAAACGAAGACGAAGCGCAGCGACGGCGGTGGGGAGCAAGAGCGTGGGCGACACTCGCCGCCGTGCGAAGCCGTTCGCCGCTCATCCAATGCATCACGAACTTCGTTTCAATGGATTTGATGGCCAATACTCTCCTCTCCGCCGGTGCATCGCCGGCCATGCTTCATTCAGTCGAGGAGTTGCCGGACTTCACTCCCAACGCCGATGCCCTCTGTATTAATGTCGGCACGCTTTCCGCTGCCTGGTTGCCAGCCATGAAGGTCGCCGCTGAACTGGCGTCCAAGGCCGGGAAGCCCTGGGTTCTCGATCCGGTGGCGGCCGGAGCTTCTAAGTTCCGGTTGATGGCTTGTCTGGAGCTTTTGAATCTGAAGCCCACCGTTGTTAGAGGGAATGGGTCTGAAATAATCGCGTTGTCTAAAGCTTCTACTGAGCCAAGTATGGTAAGATGCAATTTTATACTGCAAATGATATCATTATGAACGATTGCTTCCTCTTCTTTTCTTTCGAACTTCTTCATGCAAAGTTGGAAGCTAGAAGTTCAATCTTAGGGTTTGTTTGTTCTATTGGTGTAAGATATAGTTTTCGTTTTAATATGCCTAAGAGTGTCTGAACTTTATCTTACGAAAAGTTGAGCTTGGGAATCCCAATGGATGAATTCAAGATATATGCTCGAGTTACAATGGAAGTAAAAAACAGGGTCCCCTTTCATAATTGGGGTATCGTAGCCCTAATCCTTCATGAAATCGAGAATCTAAGTGACAAATCAGTTCAATAATGTAGAACCTTAGCTGTAGAAGTTCATCGTTACTATTACTTAGCCTAAACTTTATTACAATTTTAAGGGCGTAGACAGCTGCCATCAGTCAATGGATGCTGTAGAAGCTGCTAAATCATTAGCTCAAACCAGTGGAGCCATAGTAGCAGTATCGGGAGCCGTGGACATAGTTACAGACGGGGAACAAGTTATTGGCGCTCATAATGGAGTGGCCATGATGCAAAAGATTACGGCAACAGGATGTTCTGTAACAGCCCTTATTGCTGCCTTCCTTGCCGTTGATCAACTTCATGCTTTGGAAGCAACAGCTTCAGCATTGTCAATATTTGGAATTGCAGGCGAGATGGGAATGGATTTGGCAAAGGGCCCTGCCTCTCTACGAACTCATTTGATTGATTCACTACATGAGCTCGACGAAGCAGCTATAATCTCGCAAGTTAAGATCACCAGCTTGTGATTAAATTTTGGAGGCGTTTTTATGTATGGTATGTTCAATAACTACTTTTAAACCTTCTTGAGTTTGTACAGTGCTTTACTGTCTAATAATGTTGAAAAGGTTGGCTAGCCTAAACTTCATTTGTTTGTTCATTCGTATTTTATACTTTTCGATGAAGTTTATAGCTCTTGTTAACCTTGTTATTTTGTTTCCTTCTCTTGATATCTTCTTTTTACTGTGTTTATGACCTTGTATGTTTTATGTATATCATGAGGCCGTCTCATTAATCACATTGGACGAGTGGAGTGAATTCCCTTTTAAATTTTATCATCAAATCCAACATAGTTCACTCTTGGTATGAGCACAACAGATTTACAACAGAGAAATATATAAACTATAAAACTCGGTTACATTTCATAGACGTTACAAACCATGATTGCATTTATCACCACACATATATTGCATTGTTCTTTGTTCACCATACTGGTTTTCAGTAGCTTAGATGTACAGCGATCCTCAGCAATGTCTCTGCTCCATCTGTGACGTGCTGGCCCGGAGGAATGAGTGACCGCACCTCTGCAATGCCACGTGCGTGCTTGAACTTGCCAGTTCCTCCAGTCACTGACAAATGTGATGAGGGGCTACCGATCCTGTATACTCCGTAGAAGTTGAGGCTGTCACCATATTCTCCTCCTTCAACCATGGCTGTAAATGCCATCATCTGCATAGTCCCATCAGCTGAACTAGCTACATACACCCCTTGTGCCTTGCCAATCGATTGTGAGCCCAACTCCGGGGCGGTGGTCAAGATGTCATCAATGACAGTAATTGTTCCAAAGCCTAGTCCCAACCCATCAGGTCCCAGTTGGGTCTGAGGGGCATTTTGTAAGTTGGGATTTCCAGCAAAAGCGGTGCC